CCGCTGGCCCTGGAGCCCCCGGGGCGAGCGGGTGGCTCCTCGGAGTCCCTGGCCGGGCCCGCGCTCCCTTAACCCGCTGTCTCCCCCGCCGCAGCTCTACTACCAGGTGCTGAACTTCGGGATGATCGTCTCCTCCGCCCTGATGATCTGGAAGGGGCTCATGGTGGTCACGGGCAGCGAGAGCCCCATTGTGGTGGTGCTCAGGTAACGGCCGGTTCACGGGGGGTTTCTCGCGGGGCGTGACACGGGCCTGGCTGCGGGGGGAGGCGGAGTGTTTTGATTCAGGGAAGGAACACACATGATTCCGCCTCTTTGCAGTCCAGTGACTGGTTCGAAGAGCTTTTCTGAGACGCGTTGTTCATAAACTCAAGATCTAGCATCTTCTGTAACGTTTTAGCCAATGTAACGTTCAGCAAACACAGCCCCTGCCTCAAAGATCTTAGTCTAGTTCCACTCAGAGGAGAGAGAGTGTGTGTGTGTGTGTGTGTGTGTGTGTGACGGGGAGCATGGAGAAGGGTGCAAGACAGGCAAAGCCAATATTTATATGTATAAATGTAAACTGCTCCTCAATGTAGCTGTTGCATATTAACTTCATGTGGGCATCGGGTATAAGTGGCTGTTGGAGAGGGATTTGCCAGAAGTGTGTCCCTGTCATGGTTTCTAGAACAGACAATAAGACCCATTTGCTCAACTGGGGAGAGAGACTCAGTCTGGGCAGCACCTAACAAAATAGACAGAAGTAAAGGTCATGGGGCCAAAACAACAGATCCGCAGGGGTGGGGGTGAGGCGGAACATCAAACAGGACCCTGGTCAGTGCCCACTGATCCTCAGGGGACCAAGAAGCATGTGGATGCTGACCAGAGATGTGATACAGCAGGGAACCGAAAACAGGCCTGAGAGTTGCACACTCCCACCTCCATTGAGCTTCCTTATCCTGATCTGGGGATGACCATGTTGCCTAGCACCAGGAGGAGTTTCTTTCTTCCATGACCCATAAATTCACAAGCCCTTCTTGTCAATGTAGTGGCCCTTATGGATGGGTTCAGTGCAGACATTCCAGACCTCAGGACAGAATAGAAGTTAGCAGAAGATGCCTGGCAGAAGTGACAAAGCAGGGTGGTCATAGAGAAAGGAGAGGAGATAGGGTCCCTTGAGTCCCTTCGAGTGCAGCAGTGCATCTGTTTGTTGTAAACATCTTCTCTACAGTATAGCAGCTTTAATGGAAACAATTATGGAATACAATAGAAAATATAAATCCGGGATGGGCACTAATTTTTACGGAGGAGCCACTCCACAAATTTTGATTAGTTGTCAGGGGCTGGGTCTCGGGTGGAAGGGGCAGGACAAGGAGAGACAGACTGTGTGTGAAAGACAGACTTTGTGGCACAGAGACTGGGAGTATGTGTGCTGACTGCTGCAGTGTACGTTTCTGAGAGATGCTCGAAGACGGAAAAAGCTGTCCTGCTCGGTTGTCGCCTCTCCTCTCCTGCTCTGCAGGGATGGGGTAGGTAGGAGAAAGAGTTTGAGAGCTTAGAAACTGTTCATGCCTTTAAGTTCACTCCTCTCCGTAACTCACTATACTTCAGACTGGAGCAGCTCCATTTTGTGTGTGCCTCTCCCTGATCCTGCTCTGCAGAGATGGGTACAGGGACAGGAAGACTCCCTGACTTCAGCACTCTCCCCTATCTACCCCGCACAGCTAGTGGGAGCATCCTGGGAGTTGCAGGATGGAGCAGTGGCAGGGTGTGGGGGTGTGGCTGCATACAAGTTGCCTGTATGCTCTGCTAATCAGCTAAGCAGGTTGGTTAGAAATGCTGGGTGGGCCGGATCTGGCCCACCCCTGATATAAATGCATTATTTTCAACTGTCCTCGTTGTTTTCCCTATTGCTGTTGTGTGCATTTAAAGTAAGGAGCAGCTGTTAATGGCAGTGAAATTGAAATCATGAGCGAGTCAGTGTAACAGATGGAGACACTCAGCAGGGAAACTCATGACTGCTCATGAGTATAACACATATGAGGAGAGTTGTTTAGAGTCTTGGCTTGTGGTGTAATGTGTTGTGTTGCTCTCTTGTAACAAGGCTAGGAGTGTGCTTGCAGTTCTGTTCCACACCCAGCCTTCTCCTTTCTGGCCATCTGGTGAGCTGTAAGAATACTGAGGGCGGTGTCCCTCTTGCTTTAGTAGGGCGGGCTGAACGCTATGCATGTGACACCATGGGAAATTTTCACCTGGCTTCTTAACTCTGTGAGCTACGAAACACAGTACGAAATTTGTGCCCCCAGTTGTGACTTGAAATGACTTCTGTTGCTGAAATTCCTGGGCAGTGGCTATGCGGTAGAACCTCAGAGTTACAAACTGACCAGTCAACCACATGCCTTATTTGGAATCGAACGTGCTCAATCGGTTTCTGCCTGAAACAACAGTGAGCAGGCACTGCAGTACTGTTAAATGTCAACTACTAAAGACCTAAAGGGGAAGTTTTTAAAAGATTTGACAAAGTAACCGTAAAGCATTAGCTTACCAGTTAAACTCCCAGCAGGCGCCAGGTGCCTGCAGGCACCCTGGTGGGAGCCCGTGGGGCATTTAACTGTGTGATCGATTTAATTTCAGTCAGTTACACGGTTAGTGGTTGGTTTTAATTTTTACATCCCTTATCAGGAAACTTGGTGCTTGTTTCATTTACATTAAGATGGTTAGCAGCAGCATTTTCCTTCTGCATCATAGAATTTCAAAGCTGTGTTCAGTCGTCGTTCAGTTGTAAACTTGTGAGAGAACAGTCATATTTTCCTCAGTTACAAACATTTCAGAGTTATGAACAACCACCACTCCTGAGAGATTTGTAACTGAGGTTCTACTGTATCTATTGTGGGTACTGGCCTTCCCCAGAATGTGCATGTACTGACATCACAGGCCCTGTTCTCTGCCACTTGTCTAGTGTTTATCATCATTTGTCACTTGAAAACCAATGAAACGTCTGTCTCTTACTGCTGATTCCTCAGTGCACTAGTGGCTTTATCCACCTCCCATTGAATAAGATGGGAGGTCGTAAGATCACTTTCCCTTTTCAACAAAAGGATTTTATCTTCTGACTAGCAGCCTTTGCCTAGTGTCTCCAGGCACGCTACCCGCTATGCTTGATGTCCATGATTTCCTTTTACAGGATTTCATTTGAAGTTAGAAAGGGTACAGGTGCTGTAATGTTCTGCCATTTACAAGATAACAGAAAAGGTTGAATTAGGAGGGCCTGCAATGAGAGTGTGAGGGGACCTGCTGAATCACAACAGACCTCTATCATGGGCTATCTGGGAACTGGAGCTCCTTCTGTTTGTGCACGTGTATATATACACATACGTTTTACTTGAGTCGACGTAAGTGCTCTGTTGCACCAATGCAATAAAACCACAGTGCAAGTGTAGATACTGCATGACCTGTATTCTCCCGGACAGTCCTCCAGTGGCTGTCCCACAATGCCTCATACCCTGTGATAGTGACCGCTCAGTCCACAGTTTTCAACTCCACTGTTCAGGGCTCCCAGAGACCAGAATCACCTTCTCCTGCGTATTTTTGAAATCCTTTTTCCTGATTGCCCACCTTGGGGAGTACACCTATCAGCTAGCCCTGAGGAGCAGAGGCTAGGCAAACGTGGACATCTACAAGCGGCTTGCACAGGGGATGGAGGCAAAGGGTGTGACTGGGTTCAGTGTCAGTGCTGTGCGAATTTTGCTAGTGATGCCACAAAACTAGGGAGTGCACCGTTCTGCCAGCTGTTGCACTGTAGATCGGCTGTGTCTTCAAAAATGTCATGCCACGCTCGGCAGAGACCCTACCAGCAGCCTGCACGTTGTTGTGGCTACAGTGGAGGATCCTGAATCAGATGGCAGCAGTGAAAAGTGAGGAGGATGCACCGATAGTCTCAGGCCATGCTGCTAACCAGGACTTGCTTGAGACTCTGCCAGAGTTTCGCCAGGCTAGTGTGGATGAGCCTGATGAAGGGAATTCAGCTAAGTGCATTCATGCCTCCATCCTTCCACTGCTGAAATGCAACTCTTGTGCCTGCCTGGCCCATCCCCGAGTTAACGAAACAAAGGTATCAGCTTTTCATACAAAAGGGAGAGTCGTCCTCTGTCTCATTCCCCTGTTGGGTTGGAGGAGGGTGTGCTGGGCAGCTTGCTTTATGTGCTTGGGGTGTCCCTGTCGTCCTCCAGAAAGATCACAACGAAACTTTCATGGAGACGCTGTGCAGTTCACTCCCAAAAGTTTCTAGGGAGGGCTGCTCTAGTCCTTCCTCCCAGGCAAGACACGTTCTCATGCTGCTCTGCAGTGTGTTTGGCAGTCCTTCCTCCCAGGCAAGACACGTTCTCGTGCTGCTCTGCAGTGCATTTGGATGTCACCTTTGTAGTCAACAAGCTAGCAGAATAGTGGCCAGTGTAGCTTTGGGATGCCATTAGCAGCTGTGTTCTCTGTGCCTTTGCGAGCCTCGGTGAGGAGATGAGCTAAAATCGCCAGCGCTTGTGGAACATAGTGCAGGTGTTCAGACCCATTGCCCTATATTGGCATCCATGGACTAGGGGATGAACTTTTAGATCTTCATGCAACAAGAGAGTCCTCTGGTGAGCCGTGTTTACCATGACCAGAGCCTAAAAGTGGGGCTGTGCCATGGCAATCCAAAGCTGGAGTGTTAAGAAGCAAGTCTTAGGGGTTTCTATGAATAATGGATGTGCCTGTAAATCCAGTGTCATGTCTGTGGTTTCCATCGGCCTGGAAGGGTGTCTCCCTGGGCCCGCAGAACACCTGACCCTGAGGAGGCGGTGACAGAAGAAGTCTAACGTGAAATCCTGCAAACCAGTGTTGCATCAGACCAGAAGCAAAGGCTTGGAGGGCCAATATGAATGGAGAAGGGCAGGAGACGGTCGTAAGACCCAGGAGTCCCCGCAAGACAAGGTCCAGGACTTTCTGGATCTTCTCCGATAGCAAACCCAGATGCTGCTGGTCCAAGACGTCTGGACTCTCCACCCTTCGCAGTCCTGGGAGAGCTCCAGGATTGCTGCTCCCTGCACCCTACTGGTGGCATCAGGAGGGTGCATTCTTACTACTCCCTATGCCTACTAGTCCCAGTGCAGCTTTAGCAGTGGGCAGGGGGGAGGGGACAAATGGTTTGTAACCACCAGCCTCTGCCATGGAGAGTGAGTCTGGATGCCAGAGAGCTTTGCCTGAGTGGCATGGTGGTGGTAATGCTGATGGTGCCAGGGCTTTGTCTCCAGTAGAGTTGCACCAGTGGCAGGAGCATCATGTGGGTGAAACTGAAGTGTCTTGGCTTCTACTGCTTTCCTCGGGACTCTGACTTTTGCGGAGGGGAGCAAGAGGGGAGCCGTTTTAGGGACACTTTGACTGATGAGCAATAAGACATGAGTTACCTTGTCTTGAGAGAGGTGCATAGCATCCTACCAAATTAACAGTGTTAAGCAACACGTGTTGTACATTGATCATCTCTTGTTTTAGCACAAACAGGCCCTTTTTCCTGAAATTATTTAAACAGGGCCTTAACTTGGGGGAAGAGGGGTGTTTGTAATGAATATGAATATGCGGAGGGGTGAGTGAAGCTTTGTGTTTTGTGGGCAAAGGGAGGGAGGAACTCTCGAGAACAGAAGAAAGGCAAGCCATGTGGAGGACAGGGATGTCATTTAGTTATCCTCTGTATAGATTCTTCTTGGTTTGTCTTACAATATGGGATTCCGGTGTCTATATCAAAGCATCTCAGTGATTTCAGTATGTTGGTGGTTTTCCTCCGAAGCTCTTTCCTAAGGGTGGACATGCCAGGGTTTCCTTTGGTAGAGTATAGATTTCAAGCATGACTTCTAGTTTTTCCAGTGTCCTTGTTTCATAACTGCTGTTTCCTTGTCTTTCAGCGGCAGCATGGAACCTGCTTTTCACAGAGGAGATCTCCTGTTCTTAACCAACCGAATTGAAGATCCTATCAGGGTGGGAGAAATTGTGGTCTTCAGGATAGAAGGAAGGGAAATTCCAATAGTTCATCGGGTCTTGAAAATTCATGAAAAGTACGTAGAGCGTTTGAGTGGCAGATGCCCATAGCAGTGCCACCTTGGGCTGTGCATGTCCCACCGAATAGTCTGGTTGGGAGGCGGAGGGGAGACATCGAGGAAAGCCCCGAAGCTGCTGAAAGTGCTGTTTGAGTTCTCCCCTTAGTGTGACCCTAGTGTCCTACCAGAGCGGCAGGAAATAGCTGGAAGGTCTTCATCAGCTGAATTACAATCAGGCCCTGACTACGTGTGCCAAAGATCTTAGCAGTTTTCACGAGTTAATCAGGACTGTAGGGTTAACCGTGGGCAGCCACCTGCCTCCCTTAACTTCCCCTGCAGCATCACTAGAATACAACACTCCTCAGTTCCTGGCTCATACTGTTGAGGTAGTGTTCATATTCTTTCTTGCATAGCTGCTCTGTGCTGTACCAGAGAGGATTGCATTTTAGCAGTGAGCAAAGTGACTTCTATATATTGAAAGTGTAGGGATCCTCAGGTGTATGCAGTGTGTTCAAAATGTGTTGGGTTCTATTATCCCCGTTCTTGTTCTCCTTTGGGAACAAGGCAAATGTACCTTAGGAAAGCCCAGTTACCTGGACTGTACCATGCCTCCTCTGTAGACCGTAAGCCCAAGTGAGTCGTGCATTTTGAATCTGAAGCGGGTGAGATGGTCATTCTGATTCATCCCTTCAGCAAGTTCTGGACCAGGCTCCCAAGAAAACTAATTCACAGAACCCATCTCTTTACCATTGACGTAGTTATACAGAAATCTTGATCAATAAAGGAAACCTAAGGATGACCAGTTAATTTCTGCCATCGCCACCAGCATTTAAACAATTTTGATATTTTATCTTAGACTCAGCCTGCCTCCCTTTTCTCCCAGATGCCAAAAGTCCCAGCTGTTGTCTAGCCGATGGCCAAAATCTCTAGCTTCCTGATTTAGTTTCCCTTGTGTAGTTCCGAATGGTCAGTGTTGAGACTCTGTAGCCTATTGAAAAACAAAAATATGTACACTTTTCTCTCTAACCCCATTTACAAATGAAAGTGTGTCTTACCCATCAGCCCTACAAAGTCCCTCTGGGCTCAGAACTAAACTGGATTCAATCTTCACCTCCCAAAGGAAAAATTCTTCTGTCTGGATTTATTTCATTTTTATTGCTTTGTGGATCAGTTTAGAATCCTGTTCCCTCTCCCAGAGCTTGGTGACCCTGAAAGGCTAATAAGGCCGAGAAGCAGCAGCAAGTTAGCTCAAGTCCGCTGCTTGTTTTGATAGCTGATACCTCTGGGATTCAGATCCGCCTACCAAAAGCCACTGTTGCATCAGCACTTCGGAGAGCAGGCCAGCACTGGACACTAGTGCGATGTCCTATGCATTTGTGCTGCTGCTGTTCTGTACAGCTGGCTTTGCACGCCTCCTGAACTTTCCTCTTGCTGGCTACAGACACTGTCCACGCAACCACAGTGGAGGAAGCGCACCCAGCGAAAAGCTTCCCTGTGCTTGCCTGCAGGTGATGGATTTGGGATAGGCCTGCAGTCTGGGAAGCTCATGAAATGCTGAACCAAGTACAGCACCAACTGGCCCGTGCGTTCAAAAGACCGCTCATAAGAGACTGGAGCATGCCTGAGCCCGGTTGGTAGCACCGTTTTGTGACCTGCCACTTGGAGATGGGCATTAGTGGGAGCTCTGGAAAGGTGGAAGGAAAGGCCAGGAGAGGCTGGTGGTGGAAAGGGAGGCAGAGGATTTTGAAAACAGGAGAGAGAGATGCTATCGTGCATCCAGGCGCTCCTTGCAGGAAGGAACATCAGTGTGTTAGGGCTGGCAGGGCCGGGGGCTCTCTTTTGGGGTTAAACGTTTCTAAATGCTTACTCTGTCCTTCCAAAAAGGCTCTGAAGTGGGTGAGCTGCACAGGGCTGGGGCTTCTGACAAACCTGTGTGTTGGAACCGTGCGCGTCTCCGTCGCTGCGGTCGTGGGGCTTGACGGGGCTGTCCGTGAGCGGCGTGTCTGACCCATGCTCTCCTTTCTCATTGCAAGGCAAAACGGAGACGTCAAGTTCTTGACGAAGGGTGACAATAACGCTGTAGATGACAGAGGGCTGTACAAGCAAGGTCAGCACTGGCTGGAGAAGAAGGATGTGGTGGGCCGAGCAAGAGGGTAAGTAACGGTGTCCAGCAGAGAACGTCTGCTCTGTCCAGTGCTTAGGTCTGGTGGGAGCTGAAAGATGCATCCTTGGGTAGAGCTCTTCCCTGTCTGATTTTTTTTTTCCCTGTCTCACACACCGTCTTGAAGTGGGGAATTAAGTAACAAAGGCGAGTTGACTTCTCGCCTTGCCTTCACCAACAGTTCCCACACGTTTCCTGCCTTGGCAGTGGATGAGCTTTCGTGTAGTCCCTTTCAGAGCTCGGTGACAGCTGATCTGCAATGGGGGTGGGCCCTTCCACAGCTTCAAAAGAAGGTCGGGAAGGTTTTTTACATTCAGCACTCATGTTTTGACTGCGTGGACAACTGGAGGGGATTTTTTTTCCATCAACCTGCTTAAAGTTAAGGTCTGTTAACTCCAATGGTTAATGAACAGTTGGGAGAAAGGACATCTTTGTGAAAGGTTCAACACTTCAGTGAAGATAGAGCTTAGTAAACATCCCTGAGAATCCCAAGAAGTTCCCAGCAAAACTAGAGATCAGCAAACCACATTCTAATGTAATTGTCAAGACAACTTTTAAAAGCCATGTTTCAGGTTCTTTTACCCACCATAAAGAAGCAAGTAAAGGCACACCCCTGCCTTTAAAAAGAGCACCTTTCAGTTCATATCTGTTGCACCTGGATGAAAAATGTTGAGAGAACAGAAATTGTTTTGGCTGGAGCCAAAGATCAAAATAGCTTAATGACTAGTTGATGCCAAAGACTTAATAGGCTTTTGGGTGTGGTGTTGAACTGGCGTATTGAAGAATGTTTGTTGATCTTCTCAAATCAATCATTTTAGCTTGATTCAAAGAGATTGGCTAGCTGAATTCTGGCAGACTTAACGAGGCCCAGCTAATGGAGCCAAAGAGCAATCAGATTTTAAGCACCTCTGAAAATTTGAGGCCAGACGTGAAAATGTCAGGGAGCACCAAGAAGTGGGAACTTGTGGGCAAGTCTATATGCGAACATTTGTCACTGAAATGGGTGTAGGCCAAGATCCCAAAAGTGACCAGTGACTTTGGGTGCCTCATTGGAGATGCGATCCTCCACCCTCTTACAATCAGACTCCTTTTAGATGTCTCCAGTGGGGCTCCTGGAATCAGCAGCCACTTCTGAACATCTTGATCTAATCTATGCAATCCGTTTCTGAGTAGGTAAGTCACGGTTGCAGACCTTGTACTGACTTGGCCTAATGCAGCCTCTAGTCTGCCACTGGTTAGTCCGGTCCACTGTCCAGTCGAACGATCTCTTCAGAGAAATGGAGTTGCAGGTAAGGAAAGATCCCTTCTAAAGCCATAAACATGGGCAAGAGGGCAGGTGTTGATTGTCTGCCGTTGGCAAACTTGGTCATGGTGGCCAATTCATGTCACTGCTGTGCTTCAAATCTCTGGATGTATAAGCTGGGGCTGATATTTTCCCACCTCTCAGAACGTGCCAGTGTCTTGCACGCTGAATGTTGTAAGCACCAAACTAGCCCTGAACGTTCTCTCGAGCATCTGGCAGATCCGTGTCCCACGTAAGGTAGGGCTCTGGGACTGGTGTCTCTTACAGAGTCAGGCTAAGTATTAAAAATGTTCCCCAAGGAATCAAAATCTTCATGCCTGTCTTTTGTGCCCCAGTGCGCTATAGAGGCAGAAAGTTCATTTCCCAGGACAATCCCAAAATGGCAAACACTGTCTAGACGTCTGGCATCCAAACTCTGCTGAGTCCATCTGTCCCAGATCTTCCAGATGTCTTGGGCTCACTTCATAGTGATGGTTCGTATCTCGAGGTGTACTTTCATTGTGAACAGGCTGGCAGCAGCCATCTCGCCCAGTTCACGGGACAAGTGCTCTGGCCGAGGTGTACTTTCATTGTGAACAGGCTGGCAGCAGCCACCTCGCACAGTTCACGGGGCAAGTGCTCTGGTTTGTTTCTGACATAGCTAGCTTGGTGTGCAACGTGCACACACTTTTGTTGCTTTTGGTGCACGTTTGTGTGTGTGTGTGTGTGTGTGTGAGAGAGAATTTGTAGTATTGTACAATTATTTAGGGTAGTCAGACCTCAGGCTTAAGAAAGATCCAACTAAACTAGGTGAATGGGCTACACAGGAACAGATGAAATGCATTCTGGGCAGATGCAAAGTATTGTGCATAGCAAGGAAGTATGTGAATTACTCCTATGCCCTGTTGGGTTCTAAAATACCCAGCAGCTAAGTGAAAAGTCGTGTCGTTATGGGCAGGTCAGTGAAGATCTCTGCCCAGTATACAGCAGCAGTGAAAAAAGCAAATGTTTGGGGATTGGGAGCAACAATAAAGACCTTGACTTCGGTCATATAGATCTGCGAGTGGGTCACATTATGCCGTTCTGTAGATCTGCGAGTGGGTCACAGTCTATCACTACGGGGTGAACCACTGATCTATATTACAATGGGGCTAGAGGGGTGTTGGAAACCGAGAACGGTTAGGTGCTTGGGAAAGCTCCCATATGAAGAGCCTGCAAAGGTTACCGTTGCTTGCTTCGGTATAAGGCAAGGCATGATAGTAATGCAGATGATGAGAGCAGTAGAGAAGGTAGAACTGGAACTCGTATCTTCCTGTCTTGTGATACAAGAACATGGGGACATTCAGTGAAACGGAGAGGCTGCGAGTGTGAAACGGAAAACAAATGCTCCTTTAGTGATAGATAATTAGCTGGCAAAACTGATTTCCCCAACGAGATCACCCAGGCCAAGAGCTCCCAGCGTTAAAAAAAATAGTGGGGACATATGGACAACAAGAACACCCCAAGTTGTTATACTGGGGATTTAAACTAAAAATCAAGAACTTAGGAAGGGAGAGAAACCCGACTGCTTCAGAGCTTCACCCAACCTCTTCTCTATAGAGTGTCCAGGGGAAAATGTTCCCTGGGGAAGGTTGCGTCTCTCACTGAAGCGGCTCTTCAGAGACAGGATCCCGCGCTTGGTGGAGCGCTCGGGCTCGCGGTTTCTTCGCGCGTGTCCCAGGCACAGCCGAACCCGTGCAACCTTCACTGAAAACGATCTGAAATGATTTTTTTTCTCTTGTAGGTTTGTGCCCTACATTGGAATTGTGACTATTTTAATGAACGATTACCCCAAATTTAAGGTATGACATTCTGCCATTTCACTAAAAGATGAGTTTTATTGTTGGGCGGCCAAGGAGT